TGAAAAACTCGATGTCAAGCAATGGCGCAATCAAGAACATCAGAGATACCAAAACTGCCCATGCAAAATGAAGATAAAAGCACCAGACAGAGCTAAATTTTGGCTGATCTAAGGGCCACTTCCAATTTTTCATCAGTTATCAAAATTCGATTGTGTTCCTCCCCAGGGTGGGCCAATAACGCCAAACAAACTGCATATGTTAACACATAGAAGATTTTAGGCTCCCATTCTCTTTCAGTCTCCTTGCCAGGAATATTTACTGTTTGAATCTTTAAAAATTTTGCAAAACTTAGACTGAAGGGAGTTAAGATTTAGAACAGTAAATTAAAACAACCAGATGGGGGCAAAATTTTGCCAAAATTTAAATAGTAGAATAAAAGAACTGGACGTAGGTGTCATATAAAAGACATTTTACGATTCAGTCTGTGTTTCATCCCTTAGCTGTAAACATAGATCGAATTAAGCGTGCGGATAAGAGCCGGAATTTAACAAAAACGGCATTCCACTCAACTGAAATGTGGAAAATTACACTGGAAAAAGAAGCGACCAATTCCTAGAACGCCAAATTCAACGGCAAACGTGGTAGGATTGCCAAAATCACACTGTTATTTCTTGACCGGGGATAGTGCACCATTGCTGGCATGTGATGGTCAACCGTTTGTGAACATTATTACGACAGCACATTTTGATATACAAGCACCGAGCAGACGGCCTATTCTCTGCGAAACCTGGAAGGAAGGTAATGCTCTTCCTCTTTCCAGTTAGTTTCCTTCTCTCCCTTTTCTTGTTTCTCTTTTTCGCGCACCGCTTTCCAAATCTCAATGTCACGCCAATCCGCTTTCTCGAAATCGGGCCTGGGATTGTGTGTTGGCGGCGGTGGAATTTCCTTTCTTGACTTCCCGAAATTGAAATGTTCATTGTGGCCATAAATTTCTTCCTTCTGAAAACATCCAGATTAAACTTGTCTAGCAAAATGACAAACATTTTTTTGGATTACAGAACTTGTCCTATGTCTAACGCCTCTCCTTAACCCTCCCCCTTTCCGCTGCCTTTCCCAAATCCCCATTCTATATGAGTTCAGTTTATAAGCAGCACAACTGCGATGAAAAATTTAGCCGTATGCATAATATTTTCCCATAACATCGAGCTATTTTTTCTTCAACGAAACATACCGTAATCGGTCCGGAATCAATCATTTTTTTCTGGTCTTTCCACGAGCTTTCCGGAACTGGTTCTTGCAGTATCGCCTCCTCTTTCTTTATCATCCGCTTAAGCCGCTTTTCTTCTTTTTTGGCTTTCTTCGCCTCTTTTTTTAGCCGTTTCTTCTCCTTCCGCATTTGCTTCTTCAGAGCTTTATTCAGTTTCACAACACCACTCTGTAATATTATAACAGCGTTATCATTAAGCCTGAATGTGACTGAAAATCATTTGGGCCATGTATTTGCGTGAATATCGACAGCGCCCACTGCGATCATTCGCTTTTCAGTCGTTTTAATGTCAGTTAATACGAAAATTTTGAGCAACTTATAAGTCTAAGATATCTGTAAAATAAATAAGCAAAATATAAATAAGCTCAGGAAAAGAAATATTTAAGAAATTCATGGGAATTTTAGCAAAAAACTGTTTTTTTTTCTACAATTAAAATGCATTTTTTTGCCTGCACTTGCAACAAAAAGGTGTTTTGAAAGAGGAGGAAGAAGAGAAGAGAAAATAATATCAAGAAATTAGTAAAATTATTTTGATAAAATTATTATAATGGTAAGAAATGTTGCGATTTCAAACTATATAAGCGGCGGATGGGACTTGTGCGTTTTCTTTCAAAAAATTTCAAAAAAAAAAATGCTGGCACGCAGAAACCAATAACAACAGCACTAATTCCCAGTAATAAAACATCGGACAACAGTAACACCATTTTGGTTACTGGTAATACAATACCATGAAAAGGTACCAAGTGCATCGATGAAGCGAAAGTGCACCGAAAGGGGGAAAAAGCTACTGATCAAAGTACGATCTGTACAAGGATAGGCTGGATTTTTGATCGTGCAAAAGACTTAAATCTTTCATTTATGAAAAAATTAAAGCTAAAAAATCATCCTCTCTCTACGCAGAACAGAGAATTTTAAGAAAATTAAGAATTTTAACAAAAAATCCGAGGGACAAAACAAGAACAAATTCAGTTCTGTTAACAGTTTCCTATCTTAATTTCATACTTCATAAACTACTTTTTGTTTATTTTATTTATGGGATTATTAAATTTTTTAGCTGTTAAGTTTTTTTCTTATATTTTTATTATAAAAAGTATTATAAATTTAGGTTCTGTAGGTTCAAAAATATTTTGTTTTTAAAGTTTCGTAAATGTCGAGATGTCTTAACACGAAATAATTTTGCTCAAAAAAGACCAACCTCAACAGCCACTCCTTTTAGGTTGGCCAACGGATCTTCTTCTTTGTCTGGCTCATCTGAAATGTCTAAAAAAATTAAAAGAAAAATTCCAAATATCCACCCCTTTATTTTCAAATCTGGAACTCACAAAATTAGGCCAGAAAAGTTCAGCAAGCTTAAATCTGCAATATTCTTGTAATAAAAAAGAAAAATTTCAAGCAATAACACATTTTATCAAAGCTATACCAAATGAATGAGGTAAATTCCAGAAAATAATGAGGAAAAAAGACAGTCTTTTGAAATTTTACTCAGTTTTCGTAACCACTGGATATATTTCAGAAATGCTAAACAAACTTTCGGTAACAGCGATCGGCTTCGGCGCACAACCTTCCTCCCAAATTCGACGTGTTTCTTCATCAATGTCCTCACGATATTTTGGCACTTTGTATTCTTCAACATGGTTTACACTTATTGTTCTCTTCAATAACTGCAAAAAAAAAAATCATTATAATGAAAAAAAACCGTTATAATGAAAAAACATGAAAAACCACTATAATGAGAAAAAAACATGATTTCATTCTGCCGTACTACCACTGTAGAGCTATCACCAATATGCTACAATCACACCGCTGAACCACCGACCAATCCTATCATTGGAAAAAAGCACTGCTTTTCTGCAGAGGGTCGAGGGTTCGATTCCGCAACTAGAAAAAATAGTTCCTTTTTCAGAGCAACGGAGCAGGATGACATTTTAATATGAGAAATTTCTAATTCTCATCGGTGAGGACCAGGACCACTTTTTGGCTAACTTCCAATGAATGATGCACAACGCTGTTTCATAAATTAAGAACAACACGGTTTAACTCAAAAATATGCTTAAATAAATGACCAGC